CCCAGGCCGACCGCATGTCTGAACGAGCTCTCCCAAACCTACGGGAAAAAAACAACTTGGTCCCCTTAGGGTAACAGCCGTGGCGTATCTTGACACGGGTGGTTGTTTTGATGATCGCTGCAAACGGCCAGCGCGATCCGGCTTCTACGTTGACACGTGCTCTGAGCCAGTCGAGGCCCGACTTCGTAGAATCGCACACTAAGGCAACTTGAAGGACCCAAGGCGCAGCTGATGTGTCTGGGGCTATCTGGCACCCACTTCTATGCTGTCAGATAGTAGCCTCAGCCAAGCCTTATACCAGCTCGACGAATCATATCGCTCATTGTCAGCACGGCAACTAGTGTTGGCCTTGACTTTGCGCAGCGGGGAAGCGCATCTACCACTGCACTCCCGCTGTGCTGCACAGTCCAACATGTGGCTGGCCTGCCAAAAGAATGTGGGGGGGCCGTACTCGAAGGGGCGCATAAGCCTCACGGACACCAAGCGTTTCCGAGATCCTCGCCTAGGGGCTTTTTGCTATTGAGAACCGTCCCAACTGAATAACGGTACCGGGACAAGACCCGTGTGCGCTCCAGTGTGTTTTGCAGGATAGAACGTGCACAGCCTTTCTCCTTTCAGACCATGGTCGGTCGCCGTACCCTCTCGCTGACTAGTAACCGAATAGGAAACATGAAGCGAGCTAAAGAAAGTCCACTGCAAGGCCGATCAATCCTATGGAAATTTCCGTCCGACTTCCAACGCCCTACGCGTACGCAATTGACATCAACAAGTCTCTGATGGCGTATCGGTTGGCTTCCGGTATCCCGATGTGTTCATGCTGGATCCTGCAAGTTCTCATCTCGTTGCTTTGTTTAGAATTTTTGCCACAGTGACAATACACAGAGTCTTTCAATCTCTTTACATTGGACATATCAACAACCAAAGAAGGTGGCATTGTATCCAGAACCGCCACACTATCGTCACCAGCCTCTTCGGACTTCTTTATCTCCGCATCGGGAACCACCCATTCGACGAGTATCATGCCAAACCATAAGACTACCAACGACACAATCCCCGACTTTGAGCTCATCGCTCCCTCCATATGGGTTCATGATCCGCCGCTACCATTCCGTGCTACACCTTTCTCATCGCAAAATAGTGTGGCACCGTCACTTATTCTGCTATGCACATGGACAGGAGCCCAGAACCGTTATATCGCCAAGTACACAGCAGAATACAGAACTCTTTTCCCTTCATCACGTATCATGGTTATCACGACTTCCGCGAAAGATCTCTGCTTCAGAAATTCCGCACGCAAACAGTGGCGCATGAGACCCGCCATCGAACGCATATCCAGCTACCGGTACCTGGCTGCTCAAGAGCTCAATAGTGGAATACTGCTACACGTTTTCTCTGAAGGAGGAAGCAACAAGGCCTGCGAGCTAGCAGAGGCGCACTACAGGTTCACCGAGAGACGGCTTCCGGTCTCAGCCTTGTGTTTAGACAGCACACCAGGCCATCCACGCTATCTACGCTTATGCGAGGCCCTCAACAAATCGCTACCTCAGATACCGGTTGTGCGTCACATTGCTATACTATTCGTCAGTGTAGTGCTGGGCTGCATATGGATTTTGTACACCGGTATCAAAGGATACGAGAACAACGTCATCAGTCGGACTCGAAAGCGTATCAATGATCCTATCTATTTCGACCCCACAGCACCACGTTGCTATCTTTACTCAAAAAGCGATACGCTTATCGCTTGGCAAGATGTCTACGAGCATCTGGAAGAGTCAGCATGCGCTGGTATGCCTGTCACTGAAGTGCTGTTCGAGAAAAGTGGGCATGTCGGACATGCGAAAGAAGAGCCGAGACGGTACTGGGATGCTGTTTTCGCGACATGGCAAGACGCACAAATCCTGGAGAAGGAAAACGTGTATGCCAAGTTCTCCGAATCAGAATTTCTGGTGCTAGATCTGCCGAAATTTCCGGACTTCTCCAAACAGAGATGGAGCAACGGCGGATTTCAACGCATTTCCTGTTGAGCTGTATTGTGGTGAATGGGGAATTACTTCGCTGATCACTCATACCTGGTTCCGATCCTATTCCACAAATCTAATTTCTTTGTTCTATAAAACGAGTTCGTTGTTGCAATTACACGCCTCTCTGGCGTTGTGGCACTACTTCTGCTATCCCTTTTGAAGGCACACTAAACACCGCATATGGCGGACTGGCCATTGGAGAAACGTTTTCTTTGTCATACTTTCGTGTCGATCATCAACTCAGCGCGACTTCCAGTGTTCAGCTAGTCCTCAGATTTGCACACACCTCGGCATCCAGGACTTCTAAGGTTACCGTTGAAGGATTTGTTAAAATGCAGATCGATAAGACTTTGAGGTGGTACACCATCAACCGGGTCACTGGGCCATTACCGCTAGTGACTATCGCGGCCGGGTTTGCCTAGCGTAAGATCTAGCGTGGAAATGGCTTTCAGCCTGACGCCGCGTGGCTGCACCTCACAGCAACAACAACAACTTGTTCCTTGGCGTGTCTTTCAGGTTCAATAATCATACTGCAGGCATAACATCGGTACGCCGATGGTTTCGCTACACACTGATACCCGAAGGTCTCCTTGCGAGCCATCGTCAGCCCGGAGGCTCCAAAGAACTCGTTGAAAGCTGCCGTGTTCGTGGCCCCCTGGTCGAATGATACTGCTATGTGAGACTGCCTGCAGTCAGCTGTCGTCATAGTATCCGCACAGCCTGAGATCGTTTTGTCAAGGCCAACCCAAAGCTGATGTTCGGCCGTCAAGTCTCGATCGGCTCAGCCACCACCTGCATGACCCAGTGAACAACACATCAAGACTGCCACATCTTGTGTCAGGCTGCAAAGTGGCAAAACAGAAGAGACAAGGTCTACGGGATAGTTGTTGCTGCATGTAAGATCTATTCAGACCCCGAATTAAAATAGGAGCAGCACTACCAAACTCGCATGTCAAGGGAAGCCTACTTAACCTCGTGGGGATTGGATAAACCCCAGGGCAGCTACGATGCACATGTGATATCATCGCTGGAAACAAAAATCAGCGTACTAGCGGCATCAAAGTGCATACGTATGCAAGTGTGAAGATTTAAATGACAAGTACAAATCTGCGTCCACGGTGGAATGGATGCAAGGTGAGCACACGTATATATATACATATAGTTGTCCGTTCAAGTAACACGGGCGTATGCTACTACCTTCCCCGGATATGAGTAGCCATCAACATGATTTGTATCATTTGCTGCCTCTGTGCTTCTTGAACCTTGCTCAATGTCAACGTCGAATAACCTACCGCAGGTCTGCAAGCTAACTGCGATAATCCATCGAACCACCGTAGAGCCTCCCACGCCTCCTTTCTCCATTCGATGTTGCTATCCCCCAGAGCAATCTGATCAGTAGCTATCTTCCCAAGAACAGCCAGCAACGAGGGCAGCGGCGGTAGTCCAATACCACCTTTGTATTGTCGAGACCGCACAATCTCCCGAGTAACGAGTACGATAGACTTGTATGCGTCGATATGAGACACCCGTCCAGCTACATATAGTCGTCGCGCGATATTATCGCACTTAACCATCATAGAAGCGTCGATCCACTCCGTCTTGTGGTCACAGTCCACCCAACGCCAACGACCATGCAATAGCTCGAGACAGCCGGCATCTTGCTCTTTAAAACCCGAACGGCTTATATTCAGTTCTTGCATCCACAAAGGCTTAGTATTGCTGGTACTCCCCTGAAGCTGGCTTGCGGAGAGATGGTGATTGTCGATAAGCGAACGAAGAAGCGGGAACATGGAAGCGTGCGGGAAAGACGTTATACCAGTATTGAGTACCTGGAGTACATGGTATACGTCAGGAATAGCTCCGAACTCGAGCAAGATCTTTACCACTTCTTGATGATTGCGTTGGATTGCAATGTCTAAAGGATCAAATCGAGGCAGCCAGACATCGGTGCCCATAGGAGCTCCTGCGACACTCACGATACCCTGTTCCAGGAGAAAGCGTATGACTTCGACGTTGCCGCTGTGGAGAATCTCGTGATATGCGGCGATAACTTCCGGGTCCATTTTGAGCATGTGCTTCGGTCGCTGGTCTTCCTTGAGGAAGTACTTGATACAGTTCAAGTTATGGCTCTCCATAGCAAGACGGAGGAAATCAGGTCGATCTCGTTGCGCGAGACGAACGAAGCGTGTTCGTAAGAAGTTAATTAACTTGTTTGCTGCTCGCAGAGACTTTACATTTAATATACTAGCACTAGACAACCTAGATAATCTAAATAATTAACTAAATAACTTATTTCTTATAATAGCTACTTAGCTATTACTATAATACTTTTTTTATATATTTTTATTTTTATTTTTTAAAATAATCTTATAACTTACTAAAATAGCTAATATTTATACTTTTTAGTTTATATTTATAAACTAACTATTTAAAATATTTTACTTTACTTAAGTAAGCTAAATACTAAGTAGTTAAAGTTACTAAATAAAATTTAATACTACTACTTTTTTAGTAATTAAAAAGTTTTTAGCTACTTAGTTTATACTTATAAATATTAGCTATATTTATATTTATATTAGTATTTTTAATATATATATTTATATACTTTAATACTTATTAAAAATAAAACTATACTTTTAAGTATTATATAACTATTTAGCGTATAGCTAAGCTTTAAAAAAAGTACTACTTTTAAAAATAATAACTTATTAGTAATAAGTAGCTTATAATTTTACTACTTTTTTTATTATAATAGTAGACTTTAAAAAAGCTAAAAATTATAAAAAAATACTAAGTAGTAGTAATTTACTATTAAAAGTAAGCTAAGTATTTATATAAAAAATAGTAATTATATTAGTAGCTATAGTTATATATATATTATATTTTTAAAAAGTAATACTTACTATAGTTACTTTTTATATATTTTTTTTTTAACTTATATTTATATATAGTAATTTTATTTTATAGTTACTATTTATTTTACTTTATAGTACTATAATAATATAAAGTAAAATAAGCTACTTATAACTTTTATAATATTAATAACTTTAATAAAAAGATACTTTTATAAATAAGAGAAATTGTAAGTATAATACACTGCTGCTCGCAGATAACACCCTCTTATGGTTGCCTTGATGGCTTCTATGATGACATAGAATTTGTCTTCACACTTACACTCGGTTGTGGTCTTAGAGTAATCGTGGACAGGGGCGTAATGCTTGCAGCTTTCGTTGTCCGTCTCCAAACCCACCTTCACTTTGGCAAGCAGATACTCAATCATTACACTCTTGCCTGTGCTAGCTGCGGCTTCAAGTACGCTAGGGAGATGATCAACGTGATAGCCGAAGTGCTGTTCGAGGAAGTCCGTGGTGTGGTTCAAGAAGTGTGCGACAGCTTTGAAGTTGCCGACTGCTGCTGCCCCAGCTAGAGCGTCCGAAAGGGGAATTTCTGGGTCGACAATCCGGGGATAAGCCGCTACCAGATATTTCTTGATCCAAATGGCAAGACCTTGTCTGAGTCGGTCACGCGGGGTAGTGGCTACGACGGCTCGGACAAGATCCAAGATGTACTGTTCCCGGAGCTCAATGACGTTGTCATCAGGTAGATTGAAGCGCATAAGAACATCAACAAGCTTGTTGATGAATGCTGGGAAAATGTCCAAGTAGCCATCTTGACTCCGAATGCGGTTCAATAGGTAGGTCTCCGCATGATCGACCACGAACTGAAACGGAGACTTCGCTTGATGAAGCTGCAAGCCGGCCGATTCCATAAAAGCTAGGTACTTCTTGATTGGAGTCTTGGCGAGCAACTGGTGGTTCAGGACCGCGGCAAAAGACCCTAGTGTTATTAGTGGTGATGGACGATACTGGCACCTTGGAGACTTACTGCAGACCAGACGTGTACGAAAAACTTCGTCTAAAAGAGCAGCTTCAGAATAATGTTCCAAAATACTGTTGAACAATTCAGAGGGTAGCCCGAGGAGAAGCATGACTGAGAGCGTTCGTGATCTTGCGTCTTTGCAACAGCGAATTGAACTACGTGGATCTAGGCCGTCTAATGTAAATCGGAGTTCATATGATAGAAGAAAGAATTGAGGATCTGATGACCGCTGAATGCGAAAGCCTGCAATGGTAAAAGATTGGGCCAGCAGAGGGGATTTAAGGCCAGGATTTAGTAACGTGGTGTAAAGTCAAGGTCCGACACTAATGGCAGTGGGTACCTAGGTAGCCTAGAATCGTAAGACATCGAGTGAATATTTACCTCTGTCAAATGACCAGGCAATGTGATCTTACAGTAGCGGTAAAGAATAGTCTTTGGCAAGTACGACCATTTCCTAGGTCATCGTCATCGCCGCAACATCTTTGCTTCGATTACTTAGATACTCCTCGAGAGAAGTACTAGCAGCGTCGAAACAAATATTCACTATCCATTGAGAGTTCTTAGCTCTGACTACATGTGGCCGTGCGAATGCTGCCTAGGTACCAAGGGTTCAGTTGGTAGTGGCTCGCTACTGTACTGTAGCTGCGAGGGCCTGAAAAGTGTTGCTTCAGACTTTTGCTGATCTCCATTGTTTCAAAGCAACGGGCGATATACATATGCTCGTGACCGAAAGGTATGTCATTGGGGTAGTGTACTGATGCTGGAGGTTCAGGGCGAGCGCGAGCATCCTTATCGATAAGCACTAAGAGCAACCACCAATCATGAGCCAGTTTCGCAAGATCATGTGGGTCTCGTTCTTGGCGATCTTCCGCTTCGCAATCGCCGCTTCCTCCCTCGCTCAGCTTACCACTTGCATCTATCCAGGGTGTCGTCTCACGGATGCGTTACAGCACTTGAGCATATCAGGAAATGCTTCATATATCAACTATGAACCGAAAACTTCGTTAAAGACCGATAGGAACGCGCCCACTCAACACCTCCAGTTTCGCCTCACGATTTTCTCAGTTCGCATCAATCTTGCCGATCAAGAACCTTGGCGCAGGTCCAGCAGCCTCATCCGAGTAAGAGAAGTGAGCGGCAGTGATAGTAAGCGTACCAACGCATACAAGATCACCGGTAGCACAGTATACCTCCAGGTCTTCGCTAGGGTAGTCAGAGATGCCACCACGGTTCTGGAGATTTCGCGTGTAGCCGAAGAGCACGACACCCTTGACCTGATCGCGAATGGTAGTAGAGAGCTTGGGAATGGCACCTGCGATCACTGCGGTACCCTGACTGTTGAGGTGTTAGACATGTCCTTAAGGTGGGAAGGCGTAATGAACAAGTACGTACCTGTAGCCGCCAGCAACGATGGGAGTGTCGGGACATTTCTGATTTGCTTGTTCGAACAGGCCCACAGCTTCATTAATCGCAGCCTGGGAAGTGCCGCCAGGCAATGCGTTCGAGCCTAAATCAGCCGAGTATGGACCGCCAACGCCTTGGACCCACACATTGCTGGCACCATAGTTGCGCTCAAGAGCACTGGCTACTGCAGGGCCGGTAGAAGCGCCCTGTCAACGTGTAAGTCTCACGCACACAGTTACATGCGGTATGTGACATACCATATTACCACTCTCAGTGGAAGCCCTGGCAAAAATGAAGATTGCCTCTGGGCATGCCCCAGCTCGGCCATCCTCGAGTTCATTCCGAGTGGTTGTGCCAAAACCGAACTGACGCGCCTGTATCTCTTTCTCTGAGAATTGAGCTGCCGAGGAAATGGGCGAAGCCGCCGCCAAGGCAGTTATCATTGATAGCGTGAAGTACTTCATGTTGAGGTCCTGTCGAGACTGAGGCACTTGGGAAAGAGGAAGAAGTCGATTAGTGATGGTGCTGAGATGCGAGCGTGCTGTTCAGAAGAGCGGATATCTTTCACATATTTATCTCCTTCCTGGAATAGGGCGCGGATATTCGGCCATCGATCAGCCTTCACTAAGCTATGGCATCCTCGGAAGTAACAACGCAGCATTGACGGCTATTGGATCAGAGAGCTCGCGCTCCAGCGTCCCCATATCTCCACATGCATCCCCCCACGTATGACCTTTCCCGAAGGCACGCATTTGGCAGTGGCTGCAGAGTGTTAGGCTATAGTTGCGGGTCCATCTACGAGTCAGTGCCTTACAGCCACAGGTACTATTTCTCTTTTCACAAGAAGGAACGCTCCGCTGCCATGTCATCCGAATGACGTGCGAATACCAAGAGCGATCTCAGAACTGAGAGTGTAGAAAGCGAAGGGATCAGAGGCTCCATGGGCGGTCACCCTAAAGGTGTGGTGTAGGTACAAAGACAAGCACAAGGAACAGTCGTCTAGCGGATCACGGTAGGTGCCCAAGGAAGTCAGCCTAGGTTGGACGGCTCGGGCATGTGGAAGGCTGGTCGAGATCACGATCCCATCGTTAGAGGAGCTGTGATTCTTTTCGTTTGGAAGATCTGGAAAGGATCTGGGCCTCGGCTCGAGGGACAAGAATGTTGGAAGCCCTTCAGGGATGGCAAGCCATTTACTAGCGTCCGCACAAACACAGCGGTCTCCACTTGCCACCCATGTCCCGTGCAGATCATCATTGGCTCTTGGATCTCTCCAATCGCTACCGATAACCCCTCGCGACATGATGTACATATCGAGATGGCGTGGTTGGCAGTCAGTGAGGTTGCCGGTCCAAGCTGCGCGTTTCCTGTAGCTTCGGGTCTTTAACCTGGAACCGTCTTGTACTTCAGTCGGCGCGGGAGGAACCGGCGAACTCCTTTACACGCTGCTGTTTTTGCGCACATCAACGACTATGCGATTGATTCAGTAGTAAAGCATACTTATTTCTTGACAGGCAGCAATAAATAATCTCGATGCTGTCAATGCAAGAACTCTTATTCAACGTACGGGCGACTGATCGCTTGGTGACCAGTCCGGATTGGAAAACGCGTGGATGTGGATGCTGATAAGCAATGGCAAGAATGCCAAGAGTGTACTATATTGTGGCGCGATATGGCGGGTGGTAGGACGGGTGGTGGTAGATGAGTAACAGTCAGACATCGTAAGATATCTCGCAGCCACAAACGTCCAAGAAAGTGGCATCTTCACGTTGGAGGCGACGATAAGGACATCAACCGGCAAATTAACCAAATAAAAAGCAAGCACCACATCCGTCGGCCTTTTTAGCCGTAGACGTGAATTGAGTAACGAGCGTGGCACGGTTGCTGATGACATCCAAACGAGGGACGGTTTCTACGATAGCAGGTGGCTTTGAAGTATCGTTACCCAGGACGAATCAATGTGGGGGCTGTCCATGTCCGCGGACTCTGCAGCTGGGTCGTACACCCGAGAGCAAGAAGAACGAGACAGATATCTGAATGCGGGCTGACATTAGGCAAGTATTATGAATTGACATTAAGGATAGCTGTGATGGATGAAAGTCTCTGCCACTAAGTATACGCAGACCTCAACATCAATACCTCAACTTCCTTGTTGATCTAGTCTTCTTGATCCACTTGGCATCTCTCTTACTCAGTTCCACTGCACTCCTCTTCCTCTTCGCATCACCGCCACCAATGTTAGCAGCAGTGATATTTCCACACTCGGGTGTTGTCAAGCTTTGGCCAAACTGATCCGCGGCCCAGATGAGAACACCGTTCGACCACCCGAAACCTTCCACGACCTCATACTCTCCGCCTCCACCGGCAGCGTTGGTGCTCTCGTCGGCATACTTCTCGAAGATCGTTCCATTGCCTTGAGAGTCGGGAAGTTGTGGTACTTCGTCAGTCGCGCCGCCAGTGACACGCCATGTGCAGTACAACGAGTCAAGATAGCGTTGTGCGAGGCGGAGTGATAGGTCTTGCGTCCAAATGTAGTCTTCTGTTGATTGCTCATCATCTTCTTCGCTGACCTCGAGAGGGGTGTTGAGCAAGCCTTGCATAAGGATGTATTGGAGAGGTGGCCAAACGTTTGGTTCATCCCACTGCTGACCAGTCTGAAGGTTTGTCGCCGCAATCGCGCCGTCTCGAGACTCGAGAAGCTCTTCCACGCGTCCGTATACGCGCCTCATTGCCTTGGGGTCATTCTTGATGCTTTCAGGAGCAGCGCCTGTCCAGAAAGGGTAGAACTGGGAGATCTGGAACCATATTTGTTTTCCGGCCGGCGCACCTTGAAGTGACAGGGGCGTGCTCGTGTTATCTGCCAGGGTGTATACGTTCTGACTGCTGCTGGTTAGGTTGTAGTCGAAGTAGCTGTAGTGCTCAGGTGACCAAAGGAACGTAGTCATGGCCTCGCTACGGTCTGCTGCCCGACTGGCCCACTCGCGCGCAGCAGTGTAGTTGCCTTGATGACGATGGAACTCAGCAATGGTGATCTCATTGTAGTAAAGGATCGAGTTGAGCTCCACCGGAATAATCTCAATCGTGTTGAGTGAGCGAAGAGGGAAGAACGTATCCGTGACGGCGTCAGATGGGTTGGCTATCCAGCGTGCCGAATAATCCCATCCACTCTCTGCGCCCGAGGCGAGATTAGAGTATAGTGTCGCCATTTCAGTCTCATTGAGCGACTTCGTTACGTTGAACTCTTCGCCCTCTTCGTTGAAATAGGTCGCGTTGTTCGCAGTCACGTAATCCTCGTAGTAAGACTCAGGTCGTGGCTGGGTGTTCGACACGGCATAGTGGTTCAGAGAGTAGTTCATACCGGCGCGCTCGAGCGTTACAGTACGGTTGTTCACCCAGAAGTCATACTCTTTCTCCAGAATAGGTAGCGCTCGTTCAAGAAGAGTATAGTTCTGGGTGTATTCGACGTAGACCCGAACCATCTGGGTAAGT